AAGGCAAAACCCAGCATCGACTTGAAAATTTATTTTGGCAAGGCAGTGATGTACAGTAATTGCTTTTTCCTGCTGCCGCCTGTAAAGAAAATAATGAAAGTGGCTGAAATACTGTGGCGTAATATCGGAATTTAATTAAAGATAATGAAAAAGTAGTGATGAATGCGTGCAGGCTGTCTGTGCATCACTGTTTTTATGATTGACGGATGATACCAGAGTGGTGGAAACTTGGCGGTCCCGCGGGAGTGGGACCTGCAGCAAGCGGGAGCCGGAGGGGGCTCCGGGAGAGGTCAGCGTCCACACCCACCACTTGCTGCCATGAGGCTGGAAATGCTACATTGTGCCTTCACGACATAAAAACTCCTTTAGGTATACCCCTCCTTTCACGCTTACTTTGCTCCCATGCCCTTCTTGTTTAGGGCATCAGGCAAAGCTCGCCTCGCTTCTCCTGATTTATGCAAGAAAGCAGCAGCAAGATGCTGCGATTTGTTAATCTGGTTAGCAACAACAAATATACACTTAATAGAGGCCAGGGAGCCCATTAAAAGAGCATACTCAGTTCCAATGGGAAGTGTGAATGTGCTAAGCCGAGCCTCCCCTGCTCACTACCTGGAAAGCACCACTGACAGTAATTTGGAGCAGTGTCTAATGTAAATACAGAATTAGAATATGCTCTTAGTACACAGTTTTTGTAAGCTCACAGCTTTCAGTTTGGAGAAGCTCTGCCTAGACATGCAGATGCATGCTGGCATCTAAGCCTGAGCTGATGGGAGCTCATGAATTAAGTGAACTCCTCTTGCTTTGGAGAAAAAGCACAACAGCAACAACAAAAAAACCCCAACCCTTCAGCTTCTTGTGTTTCTGGATGTCAGGGAAGTTACACCAGGACAGAGTTTGTCCCAGCAGCCTCATTGCATGACCTTCAGAACATGGGAGTGGTGTTCGAGAACTGGAGGGCTGAAGAAAAGCTGCGATTCCTTCGCAGAAGGGAGGCTGGCGGCGCCGATGCTCCGCAGGAACAGATGCCTCTTCTTTGTGGAGAGAAATCCACGACGCCTCTCCCTTCCTCCCTAGCAAGACAACCCTTGGGACCATCCCTGCCTTCCCTGGACACCACAGAGAAGGCAGCAGGAGAAAAAGAGCCCTCTGTCTCTCAGACGTGACAGAGCCTGTAGCCCCATGGACAAGCACCTATTTATTCCCAAAACAACCCTGCCCACAGTGACGATGATGAGGTTGACAGTGGAGTTTCTGCTTTTTGCAGCCCCTTCATCATCCCCACAGCAAAGGCTGCTGGGGCGAGCACAGGCCTGCTGATGCTGCAGATGGGCTGTGATACTCAGAGATGCTCGGCTGTGAAAAGCCAGTTTCCCAGCCCACAGTGCAACTCTCAAATATCTTGGCTGTAAATATCCTGAGCTGGATGTGGGAAGATGGGACGGCAAGGAGGGGACAGCTTCCACCTTCCCTGCTAGCCCAGAAGCTGCCTTAAGCCTGCTGGCAGTGACTCAGATATCGAATGGGAAGAGCAGGCGTGCCATGCCGTCTGCTTCTCCTCTTGAAGGATGAAGACAGGACTGGTGTAAGCAGAGGGGTGGAAATAGATCTGCACCATCTTCATAAGGCGCCTGAAGAGGCGCGTGCTGCACCCCGAAAAGCACGGGCAGCAGATGAACCCTTCCACCCCTGACTGAGGGGCTGCTGAAAAAAACCTGCCATCCCACCCCCTCTTCTTATCCCATGGCATTTGGACAACAGTCCTGCATATGTCACCAGGGGAAGTGTCAAATCTTACTTGGAAGCCGACTGTGCAAATTTAACACCCTGTCACTCACAGCCGCGGCACAGGTGTGACCCAAGAACACCGCTTCTCATCCTCCCGATCGTGTGTCATGTCCTCAGCCTGCCGAGCTTCTTATTAGGTTAGAAAGTCAGTGCTGATTTCATTCTTTTCTCTCCTTCTCCTTTCCCTGCCTCTTTCCCCCAACTGTTTGGCTGCTCATCCTGCCACGAAACTCTTGTTTGGTTTCTGGAGCAGCAAGATCTTCCTACCTGCTTGCAGGCATGGACTTGGGTGCTGCTGGCTGCCAAAGCAGCCTTCCAGGGCATTGAGGATACAGATCTGTCCTGCAACTTGGAAACCATTTTGCTTCTTAACAAGAGATATAGCCCGTGACAGTGGGAGCCATGCCTGGGAGGATGGTTGGGGTCTATCCATCTTCTCCTTAGAGCAGAAGAATATCTGCTTCTTTCCCACTACTCAAGCCCCCGAGGCTGGAAGGAATTTATTTCCAAAAGCTGAAGGCCCCCTTGCACTTTGGTGCCTATTTGGACAGCACAGTTGTTGTGCAGGACGAGACAGGGGGTTCATACGGTTGCTGTCACAACCGGCCATACATCCCTGAGCTCATTTATAGCTGGGTCAACTGGGAAGAGCCATTGGCACAACTGATGGCCAGGGTAAAAGCAGACCTTTGTGCTGCAGCTTGTCTAGGTCAAAATGTAAGAGTAGAGGGAGATATCCCTGCAAAATCACATTGGTGGATCTCCTTATGGAAGTCTCTGCAGCATCAGCCCCACCATCACCGTGGTGGGAAATAGTCCAGGAAGCAAATCCAAGAGGCTCATGTTCACTTTCTTTCTTGCTGTCACTGGGCAACATTCCTTCCTGGATGGCACAGGGAGCTGTCAGCCCAGGAAACCACTTGACTGAAAGAGCTGGGCAAGAGGGGATGCTACAGAGACAGCTCTGACCTGCAGTGGAGCTTATGCAGGGTTTTTAGGAGCAGTTTGCCCTTCAAGGGGACAGGGCAAACTTAAACCTGGGGGAAAGGTTTAGGTCTTTCAGAAGGAATGAGTCAACAGTGCCCCCTTTGAAGCAAACAGTCTTCTCTCAGATCTTGCTGGACACCGGTGTAAATGCGGTGCAGCTCCTCCAGTGATTTCCATGCTGGATCTCCCATGGATATCACTCCACTGCACTGATCTGCACTGACTGAGCTCCTATAGCCCAGCAATACATGCAGTTGCTTTCACTTTCAACCTAATGGAAGGTATTATTTTCTATCTTCCAACCACTCAGACTCATTTATAGTGATTTCATAGCTCAACCTGCCTCAGCAATAATCCCTGCAAACTTTGAGTTACACTGAGCTGATCAGTCCATGGACTAGGAGTATGCCTTTGAATCAAATGTTAAAGCTGGAATTCACTCTGTGCTGGATGCTGCATTATACATTGGGAGATTTCTTTTCTCCTAAGGGATGGCTTGCAGCAGAGAGCATACTGAGGAGTGTTGTTCTAGCACAAACACAGCTATTTAAATGAGCCACAGTGAGAACAGAATTTGTGTTGGGTTGGGAGGATAAAATTGGATTGAAATTGGATATATTCACATACATACCATTGATCTTATCCGTCCTTACTTTACATATGTTGGATTTCCTGCTGCCAATATAGAGGAGCAGCTCTAAAATAAGCCAAAGGTATGTAAATGGAGAGCAATATGTTCAAGTGGAATTACAATTTCATCTCTAGGTTTGTTTGAGAGGCAGAAATAAGGCCGGAGCTCTGCCTTGTTTCACACACGCTGTGCCTGTTCGCATCATAGTTATGGGAGAGGTGCTCCTCACAATGTTATTTAGATTTATATCACCTGGGTGAGTAAGAGTGGGTTAAGAGCACAGGTAGGAACTGTAAATCAGGGCTCCTGCTTTCTCCCAGCAGTGTGGGAGAGAGTGCCCTCCCGCGTCCAGAGCGGGGAGCCTGGTTAGGGACACCCAGGTCCCCCATCCAACACTCCTCATCCTACACTTGTGTCACCAGTTTGGCTAGGAGATCAGGTAAATATTTGCCTCAGTTTCCCTCATTACCAAAAGGGAGGGCTAAAACTCATTAGTCCACAAAGATTAATTACTCAGGCTTTTACAACATGCTTTGCACTTCTCAGAAGGACGGTGGTGTTCTCTAGAACTGGAAACCCTCCCTTTCTTCTTTCCCACACTTGCTGCTTGCCATCTGGCTGAGAGGCATGCAGAAAAGACGACACAAATCCTCCATTTAATTATACTGCGCATTTTATTATCTCACCTCAGATTTTGTTGTTAATCTCTTTTACAGATTTCATTTACATAAGTGGAGTCTTTTAGCTTTAGCAAGCTATATGGCTTTCTCTTCTGATTCTGCAGATATCAGTCAGCTAAAAAGAAAAGAGAGGAAAGAAAAGTGTCCTTAAATTTGTCATTCAGTCTTTCCTAGGCTTTATATTTTGTTTCCTCCTCCTCAGCTCCCCATCTAAAAAGCTGGAAGGCAAAGTGAAATCGGCACAGCCAAAGCAGAATAACAACTCCCACACGGATAGAGGGGGCCCTCTTGTTTGGGACCAGGTAAGACAAAGGTCCAGAGATGACACTAGTGAGACCCATTCCACCACTCCCCAAATCTACAGGCAGGAATAGCTGCATCACATACCGCCCCTGGATATTTCCTTTTGCAATTCCAATACACTAAGAGCAAAGCCCAGGGCTGGATTTGTTAGCACTCAGCACCTCGAATTGCAGCTAATTCTAGCTATAATTGTTAGTGTTAAGCCCCTGTGCAGGGAGCAAGGTGTTCAGGTCTGACTGCAGGTGCTGAGCTGCCTCACAGGTGTGGCTTGCGTTACAAGCTCTGTTGGAAACTGCACCCTGCAGACTGAGGACTTTTTGGGAGGAGGAGTAGGGCAGTGGGAAGCAGCGCCAAGGAGAGCTGCTGGGAAGTGTTGCAATGCTGCTAACAGTCAATATCAGCTCTAGGGCACAGACAGCACCCTAAGAGAGTGAATAACCTTCCCAGAAGAAGAGCGTATACATGAGAGCGGGTGGGGTATCTGAGGATTCTGTAAAGTGAGCAAACATGACACAAAAGCCCTTCTGAAGAATATAAATACCTCTGTGATGATGAGCTGGTGAGAGGAGGGAAAAGCAAAATTCCCAAGGCAGAAATCAACCTCCTGACAGTACCGTCTGGGGTGTCCTGTGACATCTCTGCTAGCGGTTTCTCCAGGACATCTTGGTATTTTTCCAGCTGCCTTGGGGTGAGCCACATCCCGGCTTTGACAGGAACAGCTAGCTGTGGAGGAAGCCGGAAAAGTCAGAAGGAAAAGCTGAGGGGAGCACAGAGGGGCAAGTTGGGCTGCTTTGACCCCGCCTTGCTCAAGTCAGTAGAGGGTCTAGGGCTGATTTGAAGGGAAGAGGATGATCCTTGTATGTGGAAAAGCAACATTTTTAAGTCATTGCAACCTTGTGCTGTTCAGAGTGCCAAAGTTTTCATGCATTGGATCATCTATGGGCTGACTCAGAAACACAGATAAAAGTACGTCCTGGCAACAGAGACTGTAAAGAAGAAAATAATTTCTGAACCTTATAATCCTCCACTATCTCACACCTTGACCCTTCAAGCCATCAACTTTACTGATGCCAGTGAAGCACCCTGCCTTACTGAAGACTGAGGATGAGACATCATCCTGCCTCCATGCTGACTGACTTTGAGCCAGCTGTGGCTCAGATGTACCTGAAGTAAATAGAGTTGTTCCGGTCATGGCTGGAGGCACAGGAGAGCTTGTGGTTGCAGCAGGAGGGTGTTAGACACTGGGATGTGCCAGTTATTTAATGCTTTGAACTGTGAATCCTTGCTGTTTAAATCCTATTATTGATTGTTGGTGCACCACGTTTGCGAGAGTAGTTGCACATTAACCTGTGTCTTAGCCAAATGCTAGCCTATCTAGACCCGCTGCCTGTCCCACTCAGTCTATTCCGCAGTTTGGGGTGCACCTACACACTCCTTTCGCTGGCAGAGAGAATGGCCGAGCTCAACGCAGGAGCAGCTTCATGGAGAGGGCAAAGATTTCCCTGTATTCAAGTGGAAAAGCACAATTTTCAGCCTTCGCTAACCAGGTAAGCATGCCTTTGAGGGCTTAGACTGGCACTTAAATCCCTAAAATTGGCAATTTTCTGCTCTGCATGCAGACTTTGGGGGGGTGCAGCTGTATGGCCCCAAGTTTATAAATAAGGTCTTGCCAGTGCAGAGGACTGTGAGATCGGAGGTGACACCGGGCAACTAATCTGGAGCTGGGTGAAAAAGCGACAAGTTAAATCCAGAGCTGAAGCAGAGCTGCAAATTTCTGCCTTGCAGTTGGCTGTTGTTCACTGACTAGCAGAGAAAGACCTCATGTTGTTTCCATCTTCCTAAGGGAGAAGCCAGGTGGGTCAGAGCAGTGACCAGGCTGCTGAATGTCCAAGATAATTTGTAGGGTGGAGGTAAAACCTTTCTCTGATGCAACCTTGCTCAGTTGTCTGGCAGGGCTGGCAGGAAACGGGTGGTATTCCTTTATATTGACTGTGAGCTCCCTGATAACACCCACTATCTTTTCACACAGCACCACCAAACACTCCTCTGTAGCCAGGCCCTGTGGGCTGACTCTTGGGCTACTTGTCCCCCTGCGTGTCCTCGTGGGCTCTTTAGAGTCGCATGGTTCAACGTACCTGGATGGTCTTGATCTTGTTGACATCTGCACCGGATTGTTCAGAGAAGCCTTCCTCTTCCAGCTGCTGCAGCGAGGTCAGGGATTTCTTCTGCCCTCCTTTGTTCCTCTCCTTTTCCTGCAACTTCTCAGCAGAGAGCAAATGGGGCAGTGATGCTGGGACGCAGCATCATGCGGGTACCAAATCCGCTCTGCGCCGTATCAACAGTCTGATGCCCAGCAGCCAGGAGCCTGCAGAGCTGGGCACAAAACCAGAGGGACAAGATCTGTAGCAAACATGGCACTCATAGATGACTCCTTCAATCTGTGCAAGGTAACACTGTGAGCAGGATGTGGTAGCCAAGTATACCGATCTTACAGAGCTATTCCAGAGGCCTGGTCCTGGTTCTGTTCTGTAGCAGTGGCAATGAAGTTTAATAAAAGCCTGCACAGCCTCATCACAAATGGAGAGCTCTGTGCAGACATTACGTATTACCAACCTTACATATTACGTAATGTCAGACCTTTCCCATTTATGGGGCTAAACTTGGCTTCAGGACCCTCCCTTTCTTCCCAGCCCAAAGAGAAAAGCCAAAATTGTTTTGGGCTATGACAGACATGACAGGACATGTAAAATGCAGCAAAGGCTGTCCTCAGTGTCAAACCGACTGCTTGCTGTGCACTTGCTTTGGTTTGAATGCATGCTCAGAGGAGAGGAGGCAGCCTTTGGAAGACTGATTTCACCCACGTACATCTAGAAGACCCTCAATCACTAGCAGACATAGCTACAAGGGTCGTGATGTATGAACAATCGATCTGGGGACCATGCGTGGGTCCCCATCATCTTCCTCAAGAAGGCTGAAGGATGACTGTACTCCCCACAAAAAGCAATTGCTATCCAGCGAGAGGAGAGGTGTTGGAAACTAGATTTCTCCCCAGTATCAATGGGTTGTGTTGTGCAGGGGAAGCTCACTTCGGCTGTGTTTAAGAAGATGCAGTCTCTGAGGCTGCCTGCCTGACACCTTTCAACAGTATTAGTTTCACATCAAAAGAAAAAATATTCTCCTCTCTGCACATTCCAGAGGTGACAACCATCTGGAGGATGGTTAATTATTTGTTACAACAAAAAGACCCATCAGTATGGTGATGGGAGGCTGCAGCTTCTCTATCAAAATTACAGCCACTAGCATGGAGGAAAGAAAAACGAGACCCACTAGCTGCAGATGATAACCCACATGGGTCTTTTAGTTCTCACATAAAGGAGTCGAGGCTTTTCCTTTCTAGTCTCACATCTTAAAAGTTGTCTCTGCCCTCTCCCATAGCCCTTAACTTCGGGATGAGCGAGGGACGGCCAGTATCACAGTATCTCCTATTTGAGCAGAAGGGGCAGATGATGGGGACAACAGTGGCACGGTGTGAATTGGCAGAGCTTGGGGGATGAGGGAGGATGAAACACCTTTCCTGGTTTATTCAGGGGTCCAGCCCCTGGAGTACATTTCTTGGGGTTAGCTGGGAGTACATTTCTTGCGGTTACCTGCATTTTCTGGAAGACGCTCTGGGTGAAAAAGGGCACGAAGCCTTCCGTCTGTTCAGCCAGCATAGACACCACGTACACCAAGAGCAAACTGGCCACCACCTTCTTTGAAACCGTCATGAGAGTCTGAACAACACAGGAAAGAAGATACCAGGGTGATAGTGGAGAGGGCCATTTGACAAGAAATCCCTTTGGCTTTTGATCAGCTGCAATCTAATTTATCCACCAGCTAACTAGAGGTATATTTACTCTTCCAGTTGCTCCTGAGCTGAGAATAGAAGTGTCTTGACTGACAATTGTCCTCGCAAACCTTCTTCTGTAAATAGATTTGTTCTTGAGCAATATCTCCAGAGACTTCAAGCCCAGCCCTTCAGTACTGTTAAAGACTCTCTCTGCTCTGCAAGCTTTAGCCCTCCAGCTGTACTGGTTTAAGACCCACACACGTCCAGAGCAAAACGCTCCCATCAATCCCACTGACAAGAAGGGAGACAGAGTGATGCTGTGAGAGAGAAAAACCTTAAGACAGCTGTTTTGTTAAATTTTATTTTCATATTCCTCACCCCTGAAAACCTGCCTTGATGGACTGAATCTTTTAATAAGCCTCACTGGGTCCAAGAGAGCTGGGAAGGGCATTTGCCAGCCTGGCTCCATAACAGCCTAGTATGAAGGGCTTTAAAAACTACCTTCTGAAGTGATTCAACAGCGACTTCACCTCAGAAGAGGACTTATGTAAACATTAAATGTTCTCTTTAAATATTAAAATATTCTCTCTGGACGAATTTAATGAAGTCTGGTCCCACAGCTTAACTACTCTACTTGATTGGAGCCCGATGCTTAATTAGTTTCAGAAACCTCTTGGTTTGGATGTTATTGAAAAGACATTGTTATGTCAAATTTGACCCCTAAATTAGATTTCCCATAAATATCAGCTAGTATTGAACTGAAGGCCCGTGGAAGTTAATAAATATTCCCTTTCCGTAACTTGCCAGTCACATCCCTCCGCTGTGTGCCAGGGTAGGGGAGGGCTGACGGCAAGCGAAGGCAGCTGTAGCCCCTTTCCTCTCCCTTGGCACTGCTTAGGGCAGTGCCGGTGCCATCTCCCCCCTGCCCACCCACGCTGGGTCATCAAAGCTGTCAGCTGCACTGGGACATCGCCCTGGGTGACCCAGCCAGATGTTTGCTGCAGTGATCAAAAGGGGATTTCTCAGGCTCTCCCCTTGTAATACAACGTGTTGATGTGCTTATGTGCTGATAACATGGTGTTATCTCAGTAGCATCCATCTTTTGTGCCTTTTCATTTATTCTATCACTGCAATAAAATACTGCCATATACAAAGAAATAAACCCAGTCACCTCCTTCATCTCTTATTGACTATGCCTTTGTGAATTGATTTGCTCCCTCTTCCCCCGGAGAAACACCCCTGCACATTACTCAAGTCAAAAAATGTTTCTGAATGTCCCTTCCTTATTTGTAAGCAGGACATGTCTTTCAGACTGAGATCTCCAGCTCAATGCCTCTCCAGGCAGATATGTACTTTGTTGTTAGTGAATTTGCTTCCCAGCTACAAAGAGAAAGCACAAAGCAGGAGGATCCCAAGTTCAGCATCAGCACAACAAAGTACTGCGGTCGCATGGGGCTGGGTGCAGCATTGCCCAGCTCTGCTTATGTCTGCACAAAATGGGGTGAAATGCCAATTTGGGGGCAGGAGGGGTGAACATCCACCTGGTACTGGTGTGAGCACAGTGACAAGAGAGTACGTTTGTCTACCGAGCTGTCTTCCAAAAAAAAAAAAAAAATCATTACTGTCAATAGGCACTGTCTGTGACTCATTTTCTGTCTGTTCAAAGCAGCTCCCCGAGTGCAGAGGGCACCCAGGGCTCCCTGCACCTCTGCAGCACGCTTCGGTGTCTGCTGGGTGCTCGCGACAAGCGGGGAGGCAGGAGCTGATGGAACCGGTGCTCCCACAATGGAGGATGAGCAGAAAGCACCTTTCCCCTTGTTTAAGCATCGATTTTGTTTCCTCTTTCTTGTCAGAGCTGTCTCTGCTGAAGCCAACATGTGCTGGTAACACCAGTGCCTGTCTGGGCACCCACGAAGCGCACACCCCACCAAGCTTGCAAATGGGAGCAGAGACCAAGCACCTACCTGCCGAGCACGGCCACGGGATGCTGGAGGTCAGATCTCTTCTTGCTCCTGTTCACACCTGGATGCTCCTGCTGGTTTTGCTGGTTTCGCACCCTTTTATATGCGTACAGGCACCAATGTGCAATCCCTTACCTGCGCAGGTGCCCACGCTTCCAGCAGAGCTGACGAACGGCTACCTGGCATGTATGGAAATGGGTTTGCCAGACAGGTTTGCATTGTTATCTGCATTGGATTTTTAAGAGTTTCTCGTTTCCAGGAAGATTCCCTTTCCTCTCTCCCCAGGCTTTTGTCTTTAGGCTGGCAGCTGTTCTCGGTGGGTCCCAGAGCTGGACAGGGGATCTCTCCCTGCTCAGTTTCCTTATCTATGAGATGGAGAAATTCCTCTCTCCCAGCTTGTCTTTTTAGATCATGAGCCCTCCAGGATAAAGTGTTTATGATGTGAGTGTACCAGCGGTAAAACGATGCCTATATCTTAATTATATTTCTACAGTAATGTGGACAAATCACAATAATAACAATGTTGCCATCAAATAAGCATAATGCAGAATGAAGTTTGACCCACCAGCATTACAAAAAGCATAGATTTAACGTAATAAATCCCCTGGCAGGATCTAGAGCTAAATCTTAAAATAATAAATAAAACTATACATGCTAAATCTATCACCAAAAAGCTTTATAAACTAAGCAGACAAGTGGGGAGATATCAAAGCAGTCCAAGGGATTTATCTGTCCATTTTGAGTCTCCATGTGGCCCCTTTTACCACCATAACTGGGCATCTCACAGTCCTGGACACACTGATCCCCCTCAGGGACACAAAACTGTGCACTGACATCCCTCTCCAGACAAATGAGGTACAGAGAGAGCAAGTGACTTGCGTGAGATCTCATCTTTGGTCTCCCAACACCATCAGACAGGAGCTGATGTTGGAGGGTTTGGGATCAGGCCAGAAATGTCCTGGTGCTTCTCACAGATGAGTGGCTACGTGCGAGGAAACCTGAGAGCAACCAGCCAAAAGCAGGCGAGATGTAAGAGGAAAAAAATGAGTTGGGGAAGCAATGAAATCCTCCTGCATCAAATGGCTTTATGGGGTGTTATAGCAGGTCATTCCTGCCTGGCTGGTTGAAAACTAAGCAGTGGCAGTATTTGCTGGAGACAAGGAGAAAAGAGCTATTGCCCAGGCCTGTAAAACGACTTTTCCCACCTAGCTCCATCGCAGCTAGTCAATACGACGTGTACACACTGCACTGCGCGCTGGTCCTCACAAGGGACTCGCTGCTGTCACTACAGTCAATAACGCTCGATTTGGGCCAAACCCCTCCTTAAAAAATGTGGCAGTCACTAAGACGCTTCCCAGATCCCTGTGCATTTACTGCAGTTTATCACCAGGCAATGAAGTGCTCCTAGCTATAAGACTTCCAGAGAGGTCAACATAGTTTTTCTCCCTGGGACCATGTGTATGCGTGTTGATGAAAAGGGCATTACATGACAAGTTTTTTTTCCCCCCCTCCCTTTGCTAAAGAATCTGTGCAAAGCCCATTTGACACCGGTTCTCATTTTAATTGACTTTTCCAGTATTTTTTGCATGGTTATGATGGATGCAGCTGACGAGTCAGCAGATGGTGTTGGGAAGTGACAAATTAATTACCAAGAAAGGTCACTTTTTCAAAGCACTAAACTTTCCCATGTCTTGTCCCCTTTTACCTCAAAAATGTGGCTGGCTGGCAGGTTTCCCATCCATCTGCGATGAAGCTTTCTGGAAAGGACAACCTTTAAAATAAAAAGGGAAGATGAAAATTAATCATATCTGTATTAGTTGGATGCTGTCTGCCAGGTCCACCTCTTAATTATGCAAGAGTACTTAAAAAGGAAAGGAAACGGAGAGCTGAAAACAAGGCACCTGACTCCAAGACTTCTTCTGTGGAAGCACCAGAGTGGGTGGGAGCAACAGGCACCTTTTAGCTCTAGGTTTGCCCAGTCCATAAAAGCAGCTTTTGGCATGTCCCCATTGCCAGTGCAAAATGAGAATAAATGAAAATAAAAATCACAGCTGGAAATCTCACTCCCTAGCATTATAATGCGAAAAATCTGTCCTGCTGCAGTCCCTGTAACCATTTGCAATCTGCAGGCCCCCTGAAACTCTCCTTGTTTTATGAAGCAAAATTGCAGCTGAGGTTAGAAGCTTAATAAAAATACGATGTACAAAATGGAGTTGCTTGCAGTTCTGCTCGTACCTAAAGTTAAACGTTCGCCATAATTGGGAGTAATTTTAACAGGAAACTGGCAGTAGTAGTAAAGTCCATTAAGCCATGCATCAATTGCAGTGTCAAGGAATCAAGGGAAAATGAGCTCCCTGTGCCAGCGACACTGAGCATTTGTCTCCATGTCCTGTACTTTTCCCTCCAAGTCGCTCTGTGCTCGGGGTATTTTGGCAAGTGGGTTGCATAAAAAACAGGAGCTATAAGCCAATGCGAGTCTGAAGCTGAATTTCAGCTGTAGGCTAACGCAGCGGGCAGAGAGCATGCGGGGAGAGCGTGAAGGACTGAAATCCTGCACTGCCGCTCCGCCTGACTCTTAGTCAGGCATCGGGGTGCCCCCCAGCAAAGCTTCCAATTTCAGGGTGAGCGTCAGAGCCATAGCACTAGCCCTGACAGCCACGGTGGACCAAATCACCCTCTCTTCCCCCATATCCAACAACCTCCTTGGATGGGGCTGGCACATCTGAGAAGGGAAGACATGGCTTCGTGCATGTCATTTGCTCTCACAGCCCCACCAGACCCACAGCAGCCATCAGGCTTGGAAAAAAATCTGTCCCCCAGCCCCAGTTCCCCTTCCCGATGCCCACAGGAATATCCGTCTCGCTCCGCTCACATTAAATTATTTTTGCTTGGAGTCAGATGGGTCAAAAACGTGGCGCATGCTCTGCTGAACTGAACGTCTGCAGTCACACAGCTGAAGTCGACGTGGGTAAGGAGT